AAAGAAGACCAGGGAGCGCAAAAGAACCCACCAGCAAGATCAGGAGCTGGGTCTTCTCCTAGAGGTCTCGTGACCCATTTGGCACTCCTTTGGGGCATCTTTTCCAATGTATTACTCTTCTACTTGAAAAATTGATCTTTCTCCTTTCAAGCCCAAGCTTTTGTTGTTTTTGAAAAAGCCAAAATTCCTTGAATGCCTGCCAAAGTCACATTCTCAACAGCGTCACTACACAGGAGGGATGTCCAGGAGGTGAGGTCACAGAGACCTCAGAGGGCAGAACTGGCCCCAGGAGCCAGGTGCCTCTTCCGAGTACATCTCACAAAACACAGCCCGTGTCTGCGTCTTAAAAGAGTTTCCGTACATCACTGGCTTATAGGCAGGACGGCACAACAACCAGGAATTGACTGAAGCATCTCTTCACTGAAAAACTACAATCTCCCTCTTGAAATCCTCCAGCTACCTCCATATTCTCTGCTGATGTTCGATTTTCAGCCCTTCCTAATGCAGAACTTTAAAATTTACTCATTCATTCACTTCCAATTGAATTAGTCTATGTTTATATTCATAGATCAGTGTCAGGGAAAAAAAAAACAACAACAATGAAAAACAAGGAAAGAGAAGAGAGACAGATAGTTTCAGTTTCCCATGTCACCAGCCGTGCCACCTCCCTCACCTTCAGAATAACAGTTCTGATGAGAAGTATTTCATTGTCAGGCATGGTGAGATACTTAACATACTTGTCTGGGTCTTACACTCAACACGCTATTAAAATGATAAATGTAATGTTAAGGGACCCGGAGACGCCCCAGGATGGAGCCTAACGTCAAATAAATGCTGGCCGTCAACAGCAAAACCATCTTAAACGTCCTGCATAAGGAAGTGAGTTTAGGGATAAGTGAAAAACAGGGTTCTTCATTTTCAACATCAGAAATATTGCCAGAGTTGAAAAGTGACCCAGATACCGAGTGACCCGGAGAGTTTTACCCTCCCAGCTCTTTTCAATTGAAAGTGACCTTTTTGCTTAAGAAATTAGAATCAGAAAGCTAGAAATGAGACCACACTTCCAAGTCAGTAACCACAGGGGCTGATCTGATCACCTCCATGCAGATGCCAAAAATACAATGTTTAAAAAAAGTCAATCATATAAGCCAAACTGGAAAGAGAAGAAAATCTTCAGATACCAAAAATCAAGAGGACTCTGAGAGCTAGAGCTGAGTCCTCACAGTTGACAGAGGGCAAGGGACGGCTAGTACCTGGGAGTTAAGCAGAAAGACCTGTGGATACGCTCTACAACCCGGCCACAGGGGGCTGGCCAGTCTGTGAAAACAGAACTGGACACATGAGGCCTCTGGAACAGAGACAGCAGGGACAGCCGCTTCCTGCCTTGGGCTCCGGTTAAGGAACGGAAAAACAAGTCTTGTGCTCCCCAATGACAGTGGCACGCGTGGACAGAGTCCAGCTTCACAGTTCTGTGGGGCCCAGACTGACATGATTAATATAAGATTCAGCCTCTTACTCCTTGAATATCCAAGGACACCCCTGGGGACCAGACATTGTTTCTGGTGCTGGGGACATGGAATTGAGCAAAGGAGACAAAAACATCCTTGGCCCTACAATCTTACGTTCCACTGGGCAGAGAGAAGAGGAATAAATAAATACTCAAGGAGGGCGAAGCCTAGAACACCAGGCCAAGGCGGACGCAAAACCAGACAAAAGGAACAACTCAGGTGTCGCGTTGAGAAGCAGTGAGATTCCAAAAATGCTCACAGGATCCACAGACGGGGCAGACATGGAGTGTGAAAGAGGAGGACTCAGGCAACTCAGGCTTCACTTATACCTATAAGGCTTTCACTTCTCAGACTTTTTAAAAATGTATATCAAGCATGGAAAAATGTCGGTGTCTGCTGAGCAGGGCAGTGCACCCTGAGAGTCTGCGAGCTATTTTCTGTCTGCTTTGGTGTGTCCGGAATATTAACGGACCATGAAGCTCATCAGTCATGTCTCAGGTTTTTCTTTAGGAAAAGAGAATTCCAATCAGGGTTCCCTGTTTTGTGTCTCCGAAATCATTAAAACACACCATCACTTCTTAAACCATGTTAACAGTGCATGCATCTATTAAACGGCAGCTCTGCAAAGATGAATCAAAGGGCTTGGACTCGCCGGTCACTTCAGCCTCTGCTTGCACACTTTACAACTTGAAATTGAAAGGCTTAATATTTTCTACAAAACATTGCCCCAGGTGGAACTTTTCCTCCTCTGGTTCTATAACTAATCTTTGATGTTACATGCCGGAAAGGTAAACGAGATAATTTAAAAATGGCAAGTCAGGTTTGATAGCCTACACACACTTGTGCTTTGTTTGTCCATTTATTTATTTGTTTGATCACTTTCATCGTGCTTATAAGATTGATTTGTTGTTTATTTGGTTCGAACCAATGGGGTAAAATCTCCACGGGTCTATCCTTTGCTTCCCTGGAAACCAGTTAAACAGAAAGCCACACTGAAAAATTCCTCTCCACTCTGGCTCTGAGTATTTGTCGCTAAGGTGTGGGGACGGATTTTTTTTTTTCTTAATAGGAAAAGAGTCAAAACAACATTAACAGAAAAACTCTCAGTTCTTTGCACACCTCTTCACACCACCAGATGTTTTTTGTTTCAGCAGCTGTTTTCCACCTCTATCTATTTGGGATCAGGCAATACACTGTAATCATATCAGAATTCATGGTTTAAAAGAAAACTAAACAACATGTATTTGTGGAAAACATATGTATGAAACATCTGAAATCACTTGGCAATACGCACAATAAACCCTACTACTACCCTGCATATAAATCTCAGAATTTGAGTTAAAAACAACAAAAAAGTTCCTACTTTCATAGGCTAATAAAGAATGGTGTTTGAAAAAGCCGTCCCGCCTGGTCCTCAGTCCTGGGGTTGAGTTACCAGACATGTCACCTATTACCTCAAAAGGAAACCATAAAGCCACTACCCCCACAGATGCCCCCACCTCTAAATGCTAATTCATTTTAATTATAAAAATAAATAGATTACATCTCTGAAGATAGCAAGGGAGCCTTGACTTTCACACCACTCGGACCCTTGGAAAATTATTCCCTCAAATTATAACTCTGTGTCTGTTTTCACATTGGACCATTCAAGTCAGGTAAAGGTTGTGGTCCACTGAGATCAGCTAGTTCTGCTTAAACACCCTCCCCCCCAAATTACTGAGAAAAATGAATTTTATGGAGATACCAGCAAGAGAGAACAGTGTGGACATGGTTATACAGAAAAAGCATTGGATGTGGGATTTGGGATTTTATGCCAACCTTTGCCTCAGGATTTGAAAAATCATTTAACACAACTGAGCCTCAGTTTCCCTGGATACAAAATAAATATGGTTGATGAGATAATCTTCAAGATCCCTCTCAGTTATAAAACCCCCTCTTTAATAATATGTGTATTTTTGCATAGACAATACACTTATTTAGATCAAAAAGAATAAAATTACAATGATAAGAACAGTACTCTGCTACACGTCTCACTCTGACCATCACCCCTTCTGCCAAGCTCCTCACCACTAGCTCTACACCCCCAAATTGGTAACTCTCTTATGTAACTATGTAAATAAAAACAAATGCAAATATACTCTCTATATTTGTCTCTTGGAAAAAGGCACCTCCCATATCACTCACAGTGCACCTTCGAGAGTTTTCCATATCGGTTTGTAGAGTTTACCCCTCATTCCTTCAACAATGCACAGTTTCCGTCAGATAGATTCCCAAAATCTACATCACCTATTCCCCTCCAAAGGTGAATTGGATTTCTTTGTCTTTTGCTGTTATAATTAATGCTGAAAAATGTCACTTTGATGCATATTATCTGCACAGTGTAACGTCAGGAGAAAGGTCCAGAAGGGGAACTCCAAGTCAGTGGGCAACTTCCAGTAAAATGTGCCAGAATATCCTCCACATGGTTGGCACCTTCTTGCCCTCACACCAGCAAAACCGAGAATCCCTCTTCCTCCACATCCACATCAAAACTGAGGTTCTTCTATTCTCTCTCCTCTGCATTTCTATCTTATCTGATGTAGACGTCCCATCCCAATAGGATTTTCATTTGCATTTCTCTTAGAGGGCAGGGCCGGTGTGGTGGCTCATCCTCTAATCCCAGCACTCTGGGAGACTGAGGCAGGAGGGTTAACTGAGCTCAGGATTTCCACATCAGCCTGGCCAAGGTGAGACCATGTCTCTCCTAAAAATAGAAAAACTAGCTGGGCCTTATGGCAGGCGCCTGTCGTCCCAGCTACTTGGGAGGCTGAGGCAGGAGGATCGCTTGAGCCCAGGAGTTTGAGGTTTCTATGAGCTACGATGACACCAAGTCACTCTGCCTAGGGTGAAAAAGTGAGACTTTGCCTCTTAAAAAAAAAAAGCCCCCCCAAACTAACATCCTTAACACCCGAATGGGCCAACAAACCACATCAATAAACTATACATGTGGTATTCACTAATGATGTAGATCCTGGGCCCCAATTTTACATTATTTTAATGCATTATAGCATCAAATTATTGGCTACCCAAGAGCAAATGGACTCTGGGGGAAAATTTAGCTTGTTAAAAATAAAAAATCTAAAGAAAGCCTTCATCTGCATGTGTGCTGCATATTTAAAGCCACTTCTCAGACACTTTCAAGTCTGCAATCCCAGCACCCAGCACACTGCATCCCCTGTCGCTAAACAGCAGCAGCATGGCAGCCACTAACACAGGGACAGCCGGGAACCTCTAGGGGACAGAAGGGGACTGAGAAGCTCAGGGCCACACGCTCCCCCAGCAGACAGGGCTGCTGCAGTGGACAGCTGGGTCACGCTGATGAAGAACACTGCATCTCCTCGACACCCAAGTCTCTCACAATACAAACTGCCCCAGATGAACCAGGGCATCAGTCCAGTGACAGTAAGACACGCCTCTGAATCACCACACCGAGAATGTTCACGTTTCACTGACCTTTGGGAGGAGTGAGATTGACTCCATTTTTAAGGCACCATTGTACTGGCAAGATCCCCAAAGAGTCCATGTGGCACAGCATTGAGAGTTTACTAGCTTCCGGTCGTAGGTCATCCATAGTCACTTGGAAAAAATGATTGCTAAAAACCTAAAAGAAAAAAAGAAGAAAGACAGAGCCAAAGGTGAATTCCTTGGAGTTATATATAAAGCTGGTATGAAATGCTGGCGCAGCCTCCAGGGGCAGCTAATGTGTTTTATCAGCATGATCTGGGCACAAACTGGAATTTCAGTGTCTATTATCACATGCTGAATTAATCCAGCTGCGAAAATGGTAGAATTGATCATTGTCTTCCTACTAATGGAAAGATAAACAAATAGCTAGAATAGAGAGAGAATAGAAAAAAAAATCAACAACTCAGAGAAGTGACCCCAGCTGGCAGCCAGAAAGACTGGCAAAGTCAGAGGACAAACCCAGCTGAGGGTCAGCCAGGACGGGGTCTGAGAAGTCAACGGGGTGCTCAGTGTTCGTGGTGGGACTCGAGCTCCTTATGCTCCACATACTTGAAGAACCTCCAGCGTCTGGCTCGGAGACGTGTGACCTCAGCATGCCGCACACCCCTGAGCACCTCGCCCTCCAGCCCCAGAGGAGACAGGTCTGCCGAGGCTCCTTTGCTCAGTGTCCTCAGGAACCACAACACCCTACCCAGTACTGTGCACCCAGTGACAGAGCACTTTCCAGACCGGCTCAAGGATCAATGCTGCCCGTCTGGTTGAAATAAAGAGACCCTCCCCTGTGCTCCCGAAGCCTCAGACTTTAACCTGTGTTGAAAATCCTCACTCCTTCCTGTGGATCAACTACACATCTGTCTCCCCCAGCAGATCCTAAGTTCTCCAAGGAGAGTAGCCTCTTTTTTATTCATGAAATATTCTCAGGTGTGTAGAAAACGCCTTAGGCATAGGAACCGGATGAACGTCCACTGAATCAAAGGGAAGCATCAGTGAAAAGCAGGACGAGGCTGTTGGCAGATGAAGGGAGGGACAAAATCAGACGGAGCAAAACTGAGAAGCACGAGGGGTGTGAAGAGCCCCGTATGTAAAACTGCCAGGATTAAACAAAAGGAGATTCCTTTCCCAGCTCAACAGACATAAAACAGATATTCTTAGGAAACCTGAAGAGTTTTACGAAGCTATGGTTCCTGGGTCCTTCCCTTTTTCTGGAAGCAGTCCAGTCCAAAGAGAAGCACAGGGAGAAATTCATTCTTGTCTTTGTCGATTCCAATAAATAGCTGTAATTCTGCTGCCTCAGGTTTGCCTTTGAAAGTCATCTTCAGGGAGCAGAAAGGGTCACATACGGCTGGGAAAGCCAGCTCCACGGCCACTGACAATCCCATCTTCCCCTCAGTGCTCCTTCCTGGATGTGCTTCCTCCTTGGCATTTTACGTATAACATGCTACGCTTCTTTATTCATTAATTTCGCTGTCCGTCCATCCCCTGTTAGATTCCTAACAGCAGGGACAGTGCTCCCATTATCCAGCACAGGGCCAGCTGTCAAATACTGTGATCTAGTCTGCCCTAAGCACACGCGTGCACACACATGTGTATGAAGGATGTGACTCTGGTGCCACATCGCTCCAGGCTGCAGGGCCCCGTAAAGATGGGCACTGAGGAATTTCCAAAGCATGCTCAGATCCATGCTCGTATGGGCACGCCTCTCAGGGAAAAGCATTGTTAAGTGTCATCAAATCTGTCAGGTTCACGTTCCCAAACCACCGCTGTGTAATACATCCAGTCCAGAACCCACAAGTCTCAGAATGAAGAGCTCGGGTCAGTTAAGCAACTAGTCCAAGACCACACGGCCAACATAGAAACAGAAGCCAAGACTCGTAACTGGTTTCCTTTCCTCTCCAGTCAGTGTAACGTATTTCATTTATGCAGAGACGTCATCATCACCTCCATCTCCACCTCATAAGAAGCCCCAAAAACACAATCCCACTTTCCTGCTGAGGTTGGTCATTGAATCCCGGCTCCACCACACGCTCATTGGTAATATCATTCACTTATTTCTTCCGTTGTGCCAACCAAGAAAAACCCCCAGGAAGGGGCAAATGGAACTCTGATTGTACAGAGTGAAGACAGCACACTGTGTGATAGTGACAGTCTCAAACGGAATGATCTACGGTGTTCCCTAGGGCTCAGATACATTTAATTATAAACATCGCCCACAATGAGACTATTGTGACAGGTCGTGACATGAAGATGAGCCTTGAACCTGGAGGTGCCTGCCCAGGTTCTAGGAGACACACGGGCACATGCCAGCCCCTGAGTGTGCAGGTAACACGTGAGCGTAAGGAGCGGGGGAGGCAGAGAGACTGTGACTTAGGTGTTTTATACTGGTGGGAGGTAAGAAAACATAAATGGAAAGAAAAATATTAAGAAAATCAGTAAAAATACCTACTCTTTCCCTCAGTGAGATCTATTTAGAGAAAGTTATTCAGTGTGAAAACTGATTCACCATCACTGAAAGACTGAGAGTCTATCCCACTAGATAAAGATATTTTGATTCATATGTGACATTGTAACACTATATATTGCAATTATTTAAAGGTGTAAGAATGTGAGCGGGGGCTACCGCTGATGAGCTAAGCACACCAGCTTGGTTTTGTTTATCTTAAACACCAGGCAAAGTGAACTCAGGGGTGTAAAGAAAAGTTTTGGCTGGGATTCAATAAAATGCAATACTTCAGTTTTGGAAAAATACCCAACAACTATCAGAACACACAGGAAAGACCTTCAGAGGCCATTTTAAATAAATAGGTTTGTCATGAATGACAAACAGGTGGAACTGCGTGAATTTTAACCTCAAGATGATGGTACCAAGTGGAGGCCAAAATTTCCTTTATATAAATGACCTTAAATATTCAAAGTTACTCTTCAAATAAATCAACAGTTATAAAGAAAACTTAACGTGCGCTGAAGAAAAATTATTCAGAAAGGAAAAAATGTTCAGAAACGGAAAAGGAGCATTTCATTATTAAAATCACTTTCCATCTTCTTTAATACACTATCATCATTAAATTTCTCAAATTTCACCAAATCATACGTTTTTAAAAATCAGGACTCAAATAACCTTAAAACAGTCATGACTTCATCCACAATTCCAGTATTCTTAAGAAAAAGAAGTTTAAATGAAATTGACTTTTTAATCTTTCATTACATTCTCCCACTGAAATCCCCAAAAGGCCTTTAACCAAAACACACGTTGGCTAAGAAGGGCTGAGCACACTGAGGCCTCTGTCATTTATAACAGGGGCATTTAAGGGAGAAACAGGCAATTCACATTTCGCCATAGGGTATGGCCTTGAGATTTCTTTTATAGGCAAGGGATATTATAATCTTAAAAGATTATCAGATCATCATAAAAATGCCTTTACATGAAAAAGTAATTTCATTTTGAACCCACAAATCTTAGAAGCAAGGGTTTGTCTTTACACAGTGAAGGCAGATGAGAAAAAAGATGTAGAAACACCAACTTGTGGGAGGCAAGAACTTGCTTTTCACTATTTACAGGTATTTCCTAAATACAAAGAGACCATATTCACCACTTTGCGTGCAGGGGGGGAAAGTTACCTTTATAATGAGTACCACACACAATTTGTCAGTGGACAACTATCAGAAGACCGGTGCATTATCTGAGGAGGCATCTGATTAGACTCACCCAGGCCACCAGCAATAAAAAGGGCTTAACGCGGGGCTGGGCTGGAGGGACGCAGTCTGCCTTTGGCTCGTCTGGTGCATAGCTGATATCCTTGGGCCAATATATTTCATCTGGCTGGCTTTGAGTTGAAATACTTAATGTGATCCACTCTGGGGGTTATGGCCAAGGGCAGGGGAGGAAAACCCACCTTGGTCACTGATGCAGGACAGATGTGAAAGGGCTCGCTCATGCTCACTGTCTCCAGCTTCATCCCAACTGTGAAGAAATGGCTCCGCAAATCTGCGTGATCCTGGGGAGAAAGATAAAGACACTGAAGGTGGCAGCCCTTCGGGTTAACCTGCAACTGCCTGGACGTCGTCCTGCAGCACTTTATGGGCCAAGTGGAATCTGATGGAAACCATCACCCCTCCCCACTTCCAATTTCTAATTATTGCAAGATACTGGGTATTTATTTTCCACAGGCTAAACTGCTTTTCCAAGAGAGGGGCAGCAAGCTATTGTGGCCATGCTTAAATTTACACTATGCAAAAAAAAAAAAAAAATGCACATCATATTGCTTTGATCTTCCGAGGTGCCATCAACTGAAGCCAGCAATCGGTCATCCTGCAGGCAGCAGGGGTATCTTCAGAAAGCGTGGCCCTGGCCTCCTGCTGCTGGAGCTACATGATGGCTTCAGGGAGGCCCCTCTGGGGGACAGGCTCCCCCACCTCCTGCGTCTGAGAGCCCATAGCTTCCCAGTTCACGGAGGTGAGCCACGATCTTAGAGATGTATGTACTTCAGAATCCGAAACCATCCTGCACATGCACCAGGACCTGACTTCTACTCAATAAAGATGAGCAACACCCTCCTTTAAATCGGTGTCTGGCAGTTTTATAACCGGCTCATAGGAACCTTATGTGAGAGGGATGGGGCGTCCCTGCCTCCTGGAGAAAACAAATTTCAATGCCCATGTCAGCTATCCAGCAATAGATGAGGCTGGCTGGACGCGGATACCAGAATTTATCTTGCTGAGATGGAGGTCACCTCATAACTCACAGTCGGATATGTGGTAGTGGATGAATAAATGTATTTGCAGCCTGTCCCCGAGGAAATAATAACCACGAATAAATCCCACGATTTCCAAATACATCAATTGGGTGTGAAGTACAAAAAACATCTGGGGCCTGTTACTTTCTCTTTAACTGCAAATCTAAAGTGGATTTTTAATTAATTCAATGATACCACTTTGTATCCAACTCTGAGCGTGGCACAGGCTCTGCTGCCCCCACGGTGCACTACGAGACCACAGGGGAAAGCTCCCAAGATGCTCCCCGTGTTGCCGCAGTTACAGAATGTGGACATCCACAGGACCCGCACAGCCCTTCACTTCTCAGGGGCTCACAGGAGTCTGCAGAGGTCTCAGTACTCCCAGTGACACAAACAGGGTCCAGTCCAGGGACGAACTGGCCCACTCTAAACCCTTAAAAATTCCGTAGGAAACGACAACCACCATGTTCTTACAAGGGAAAGTGGAAGGAAATATTCCCAGCTGCAGGGGACGACTTTTCTTGTTTATGTGGCACATAAAGCATTTATTTTTAAAGGCAGCTGGCAGAAGGTGGGTCAGAATAGAAAAGTAATTGAAAGCAGAAGTGTCAGAGGTCATACATATTACCGCAGCCCAACCATTATGCCAACATAAGGTGTTGAGACATCACCCCTAAACCAGAACAGCCTTGTTGATGTCTGAATTAAAAGATGAAAAGTTAAGTTGAATGTTTCCAGGCACAGAGAAAAGAAATATTTCAAGTGATGGATATCCCGGTTACTTTGATTTGAACTTTATGAATTACCTAAATGTATTAAACTATCACATGTATGCCCCCTAATTCTGTACGTCTATTACATATCAGTAAAAAAAAATTAAAAATATATAGATATTCAAATAAGAGTCAAAGTTCAGGTTCCTGTCAGACCACAATGACCCAGTTCCAAAAGCAGTGGCGTGTCTGATGGATTCTGTGGTATCTGTTCCTATTTAATTACAAAACTTTTCCAGCTTTAGGAAAGAGGACTACTTCTAAAATTACCATGTACTCAAGGTTGGTCTTTGTGTACTCAATAAGCTGTACAAAAGTGCCCTTACGCACTCAGGACACATCTGTAACTATAAAAGGGCCCGATGGACACCGCAGTGTCTTGGAAGTCCTCCCTTACGCCACCCGCTGCTGTCGGGCTGGAGACTCCTAAGATCTGGCTCCTAGTAACATGGAATGACCATCTCTGCCTGGTGGCGTCCATCCCCAGGGCTGTCCTCCAGGCTCACCCGGTCCAGAGTCTGTGCCCGCGCTTTGCCCGGACTCCGAAGTCATTAGTCAGGAGCACTACAGTCTGCAGCCATGAGTGGAGAGTGGTTATCAAAGGAACATGATGCTGCCTGCTTTATTTCTAAGGAGAGGCAGCCTGGTTTCTGCAGGACCATGAACCCAGGGCTGTGCTCCTGGTGGTAGGGTGGCATCTGTGATTGAGAGGCCTTCCAGAAGGGACGGTGTGGACTGGGTTTGAGACTCCACATCAGTGGTCTAGGTTGAATTGGACCCTGGGATGTAGAAAGGACCCAGGGTGGCAGGTCAATCCTATTTAGAACACTGGATCTACACAGAGAGCAAAGACCACAGCAGAAGTACAGAGTCCTCTGCATCACGCCACAACTCCAGGTTGCTGGAGGCTACTGCCTCCCAGAGACGGCAGAGGGTCTCTGCCCTCCCGCTGGGAGCAGTGAGCTCACACGTCCATCACCAAACTCCTCCAGCTCTGTGTCATGAAAACATGAACATCACATCTATACAGGGCCAAGTATGGAATGAAAATAAAATAGCATGACGTTCGAATATTCCTAACCCATTTAAAAGCAAATCAGTATTAGTATTGGTAGGTTAGTGTTGTGTCATTCCAGGTTTAGAATCGGGATTCCCTTTGTCATCACGGCTCAGATCTCCCACACGTGAAATCATTCCTTCTAGGTTTCAGCTGTCTGCTAAGTACAGTCTCTGTCACTGGCTCCTGGAGCACAGCTCCTAAATCCCTTAACATTTCCTGAGTGAGAGAAACATCCTTTATCTACAGAGGCCACTCTTGCTGGGCCCCTAAGCAGCTTTAAGGTGGACGGTTGTGGCCAGAGAAAGACCAAGCCAGCCCATCCCAATGGCCAGTGAGCTAATCCACTACGCCCACAAAATGAGACATTCACAGAGGTCCCAAATGAGGCTTCTCCGAGCTTCCCAGTTGAGAAGCTTGGTCATGTTCTGGGAGGTGCTGCACCCCGACTTCATGAGGACAGGAGCTTCTGTGCCTGGGACCCGCCTGGTCCTGCCCATCCTACCTGGCTCATCCATCTGCCTCTCTTAGCACATCTTTCACAGTAAACCAGTAACAGCAAATGAACGGTTTTCTCTGAGTTTTTTTTTTTTTTTTTAAAGAGACAAGAATCTCACTCTGTCGCCCTCAGTAGAGTAGCATGGTGTCACAGCTCACAGCAACCTCCAGCTCTTGGGCTTAGGCGATTCTCTTGCCTCAGCCTCCTGAGTAGCTGGGACTACAGGTGCCTGCCACAAGGCCCAGCTGTTTTTTTGTTGCAATTTGGCTGGGGCTGGGTTTGAACCTGCCATGCTCGGCATATGAGGCCGACACCCTAGTCACTGAGCCACAGGCACAGCCCTTTCCCTGAGTTCTGCCAGCTGTTCTGGCAAGTTATCAAATCTGAGGGAGGGGGTTGCAGAAACCCTGATTTATAGCCATCAGTCAGAAGTACAAGGACCAGTGATTGGCATCTGAAGTGGGGGGGTCTTCTTGTGCTGAGCCCACATCCGTGGGGTCTGGGCTACTTCCAGGCAGGTAGTGCCAGAAGTGAATTAAATCATGCACACTTGGTATCTGAGACAGGTGGAGGACAAAGTGGTGTGAGAAAAACCACTTGGTCCACTGTGAATAAAATAGTTCCTAAGTTACAAACCATGCACTTCTTCTGCAGGGAAATCCATCCTTGTTGCCCCAAACTAGGGGAAGCCCGCTTGTTTAGTGTACTGAAAAAGAAGACAGGCATTTTGAGAGGCAGTAATATCCAACACAGGTATTATTTACAGCCTGGTCTCAAGGATCCACACAGATTAGGATCTTACACTACTAACCTCAAACTCCAAATTTCAGAGATGAATCAGGAAACCGTAAAATACATTCCTGTATCTTGCAGCCCTAACTTCCACTTTTCTTAAGATCACTTTTTAATCAGCGTCCAAATAAAAGGAAAAACCCAAAAACCACATACGACTATGCAGAAATTCCATCAGTCTCAAAGGCAAGCCAGCATAATAGAAACTTGAGAGGGTGCAGGATAAAGACACCATCGTGACTGAGAGTTTGAATAAAGCTGCTACTCTAATGTTCAGGTTATTTATGGATTATGGTCTCAGAAACGTTTTCCTGCAAGACCAGGACAATATTTTCTAAAGGGGGCCTGTCACTGCCACTGCTGGCCGTGGGAGAGCTGTGACACACATGAAGCGAGTCACAGCGTGCGTGAATACTTTCTAGGAAATGCCAAACTCTCCCATCTAGGCTATGGGGTTCACCCAAGAAACTCCTCGATAAATATTTACTGAGTTGAAGGAATAAAAAAACGAGATGATTTCTTTACATCATTCCCATTCTGCGTTCTATCATTCATTCAGTAAGTATTAGAAACCACTGGGGTAACCCACAGTAAGCTACCAGACTATGCACGGAACAGACACCAAAAAAAAACTAAACTACATCTGTCAGAGAGAGAAGGAAAAGCAAAACCACCAGGGCTGTGAAGATCCAGGCTCAGAAGTTTTAGAACACAGTCTTTTTCTTTTAGCACATAAAAACTGAGTAGCACCATCACTGTGGCCGTCAGACACTCTCAGACACTCGGAGGAGTCTCAACTTGGAATATAGAAATCACGTGACTCGGTGATAAAGCGGGGGTTCTGAGAGAGGTGCGGTAAATTTATCCAGAGAGGCTGGGGCTGAAATACCAGATGGAGGCATCTGAGTAGGATCTAAAAGCCATTTGACACTCCTAAGAAATAAGTGATTAAGGTAAGGGAATGGGGTTTGCCGACAGACCAATCTGCGGAGTTCTGTGGACGTGGGAGCATGTCCGTCCTTATCAGGATGTGAGACAGGTCTTTCTCATTGCAAAAGAAGTGTCATCCCCCAGCCCTCTGGCCGCGGGCTGCGGTGCAGCGGAGTGCACGCACTCACTCAAACGTCCACCCCGCTGGCCT